AGGGCGTCGACGAGGAAGGGAGATGGAGCCGGGAGCTGGAGAAGGGGGAGCCAGTTGTAATCATGGCAGAGGGCAAGACGGAGGCGTGCGCTGTTGGGTTCTTGGTTGCTGGTACTAAGGAGGTCAAGGATAAGGGCAAGGGGCCTGTGGTGGAGGAAGCGCATTTCCTCGGCGATGGTCTGTGGAGGCTCGGAACGGACTAAAGGTGCTTGAGGCTAGGGATCGGTATATGAACGAAGAGGTGAATTTGCACATATGATATCAGGGGGAGGAACCAGATGACAATGCAAAATGCGTGGAGCATGAACAAAACCCAACAAAAGCATGCCTTTTACTTGCTCAATTTCCTGCCGAGATGACATACTCCCTTGTGCTTTTGGATTTGTCTACGGTGTGACCTTCCTTGGCCAGCTTGATAGGTTTGTGATTCTTCACTTTGAGTTTACCTGGTGCTTGACATGATTGCTCAGGACTCGCCAACAGCAAGGCTCGCGAATGGGATCTTGCCTAGACCCAAGACCCTTCATCATTAACAGAAAGAGGTTCGACAGTTTCGAAGTCACTGTTCAGATGGAATGTCCAGGCAAAGACTTGAGAAAAAACTCTGAGATCACACATCAAAGTAGCAAAAGAGAGTATGTCAATGCCAAAATCTCACATCTGTGGCCATTGGTGAGGCAGATGATGAGGATGAGGAAAACACGGAGTAATTGGGTCTGAGCACAGGTTTACTTCAGCAAGCTTTAAACCGCTCATTTCGATGGATGGTAGATTCACAATATCCAAGAGAGAAATCTGACTGTCTACAGCATCGATGCTGATTGTAACATCTCAGAACTTACTGAGACTCCCGGTATGTTGACGACAATCGCTTTCATTGATCAGCTCATATAGTCCCAGGACGCTGATATTGCAGCTTGGCTCCCTTGAATTCATACCGATTTCACGCTTAGATGCGGCTGGACAGTGAGTCACCTAAATCTGTGAAGCTCAATGAGCCGTATTCACAACTCGATATGACTACAGAAGTTCAGTACAAAAGCAGACATCTGACCGAAGAAGCTCTCCGAATCCACGTCACGCCGAGCTGTAGTGGTCTGTGCATTGCTGGTATAAGAGTCACGTGGTGGAATGACATCCAAATTTTTCCCATCTTGCCCCTCATTGCCCCTCCATTACTCTGTACCTCACCTTACCCCTCAATTCCACGCCTGATCGTGTGTCGAGCTCAATCACCAAGAACGACAAATCTCAGCATCATGGCCGACGAAGCAGCCCCGACGTCCAAGAAGGGCGCGAAGAAGGCCGAGGCCAAGGCCAAGAAGGAGGCCATGAAGGCTGCGCGCGCTGCAGAGCTCGCCCAGCAAGCCGCCGCAGTCACTCTCGAGGACGACCCCGCCCAGGACAACTACGGCACCAAGCCTGTCTTCAGCAAGGACGCCGAAGAAGTCGAAATTCGCGAGCTGAACGATTCCCACAATGGCAAGACCGTCATCGTCCGTGCATGGCTTCAGAACTCTCGTGTTCAGAGTGCCAAGATGGGCTTTGTCGAGCTCCGCAAGGGAGGCAACTGGAACATCCAGGGTGTTGTCATGGCATCTGACGAGGAGCCCATTGTCAGTCGCCGCATGGTCAAGTGGATCACCAGTATCAACCCCGAGAGTTACGTGGTGGTTGAGGCCAAGGTGAAGCAGCCTCTCGAGCCCGTCAAGAGCTGCCGTGTCTCTGGTCTGGAGCTCCACATCACCAAGTGCTTCGTCCTCGCACCAGCCCCCGCCATGCTTGGCATGACCATGGGAGCTGCCAGCCAGCCCATTGTCAACTTCAGCGACGAGAAGGCCCCCGCCGCCGATGCTGAAGCCGAGAAGGAGAAGGCTGCTGAAAACACGAGCACGGTGCCCTCCGCGACAATGCTTACCCATCTCGACAACATTGCCATGCACAAGCGCGCCCCCGTCCAGCAGGCCATTGCCGTACGTTTGCACTCAATACCAAGCTTTTAATGCTTTTACTGACTGTACCGGCACAGGATATTCGTATCGAAGTGAAGAAGATCTTCCGTTCGTACCTCGAGAACCAGAAGTTCAAGGAATTCGAGCCTCCCTGCCTCATCGGCGCTGCCTCCGAAGGTGGCGGTAACGTTTTCCGATTCGCATACTTCGGCGAGGAAGCTTTCCTCGCCCAATCACCTCAGTTCTACAAGCAATTCGAAATTGCAGGTGGCAGAGAGCGTGTGTTCAGCATTGGCCCCGTTTTCAGAGCCGAGAACTCCAACACCCCGAGACACATGACCGAGTTCACCGGTCTTGATGTGGAAATGGAGATCAAGCAGTCTTACACCGAGGTCCTCACCGTCCTGGAGGGCGTCCTGCTGTCCATCTTCCGTGGCATCCAGGGTTAGTTGATAACCAGCCCGAACCCCCAACGTATATGATTTTTTTCATTTGCAAATACTAACCATGACTTTTGTTGCTACAGAGAGATGCGCCGACGAGATTGAGACCGTCCGTTCCGTTTATAACTCCGAGCCCCTCCTCCTTCCTGAGCCCGGCAAGGAGGTCCGCTTGACCTTCGCCGAGGCCCAGAAGCTTCTCCGCGAAGAGGGTCCTGCTGAGTTCGCCAACGTCCGTGACGACGAGGACATGAGCACCCCCCAAGAAAAGGCCCTTGGAGAGGTCGTGCGCAAGAAGTTCAACACCGACTTCTACGTCATCGACAAGTTCCCCGAGACGGCCCGCCCGTTCTATGCCAAGCTTGACGATGCCGGCACCACGACTGGTGAGGGCACTCGCGTAACGAACGCCTTCGATTTCTTCATCCGTGGCCAGGAGGTTCTCTCCGGTGGTCAGCGTATCAACGACCCGGCTGAGCTTGAGGAGCGCATCCGCGCCAAGGGCATCGACCCTGAGAGCGCAGGAATCAAGGAGTACCTCACGGTGTTCCGACAGGTTGGTGTGCCGCCCCACGGTGGTGGTGGTATCGGTCTCGATCGTGTGGTTGCTTGGTTCCTGGCTTTGCCCAGTGTCCACCTTGCGGCGTACTACCCTCGTACGCCCAAGAGACTGTTGCCGTAAGGCGTTCCATAAGGACTTTGAGTCTCTGTGGATCAAAAGGAGCGGCGTTCTTCAATGTGGATAATGAAATGTGTCACGTTCGGCCATGTTGCGGATGCTGGAGGCGAAAAAGTCAAGATGGCTCAAATTCTAGCGCTTGTGTCTTATGTAGAAGAATCAACAATTCTAAAGAAACACTCCGAGGTTTTCTACAACCGATTTGAAGCACGTTCCAACATGGCTTGTGCCGACGATGCTGACTTTAGAAAGGAGTCTGCCTTCTCATCTCGATATCCAATCCTCCTAAAGCTTCTACCGAGTACAGCAGGTGAACTATTGAGATGTCAGCATAGTACAGACATGACCTGATATCTCGTGCTGAATTTGTGTCTTACGTCAACAGAACACGGCTTGCCGGCATCGCCAAAGTTGTATCCCTTGATTTCTCCGAATCTCTGGCCCACGGGGCAAGATTCTCTAGCGGTGCACGAGTTGCCTTCCATCATGCCCGGGTTGTTGTATGGTCTGCATGACGCCGCGATCGCGGGCGAGGCCAGGGCGGCTACGAATGCGAAGAGAGTTGTGAATTGCATGATGGTCGAAGTGGATAGAGTGAGTTGGTAATTGTAGTTGGCTTTTTTTTTTTTCGAGTTGTAAGTCGTTGGTTGATCTGGAGAGCTAGCAAAAGGTACCAGATAGGTGTTTAATGGAAAGGTTCTCGCGACCATTTATACAAACAGCGACCCTCTCCTTAGGTACCCTGCTTAAAATCCGTATTTTTTACCCATCCTACGCACTGAGGTCTGAACTAGGGGGCGCAAATCCGCATAGTCAAACCCCCTGGTGGTTTCGGGGAGAGAAGCTCGGTGATTTTCAATAAGATGCGGTATTCGAGTCATGTTTGGGCCTCCCCTACAAACCTACTTATATTGGCCATAGCCCCAGAAGCTGTCGTAGAACACTAGTCAGCGCATATCTTCTCTACATGGGCAAGGCGAATGCGCTGTTCAGCTGGGAGCAGCCTGTGCTCTTGCGTTCTCGGGGAGATAGCTTGGCCATACGTACATACTATGGAGAGCTCCATCCTAACCACAACCACATTGGTGGAACCGGGTTGACATTGGAGCTAGTCACCGACTCAGCAGAGCTTTTTGGTGGAAATTGCCTATTTCCCAGGATTCTGGGGTTCTAGAATTATCTTGTCTACTGGATCGTATGGAGCCGTTTCTGGCACGATTTACCGTGGCCTGGCAACCCGCGAGAAAAATTGCCGTAGAGCTGCATGAATCGGCAACCAGTCTCCGAGGTCTTCGATCCTGGGGACGTTGTTTTCCCCATCACTTTGAAGAGTACATGTATCATTTTCACAACAGATGTCGATTGAATCCTGTCGTGATCTGATCTCACAGTTGCCTTGTATTCACAATTGACCATTAATCTATGTCCTATAGCACTTGCTTGAGACCAAAGACCTGGTCGACTAGGAAGGAAGTGATGAGCGGCCATTACAACGCGCAGTCAGAACTGTCCCACCGGCCGTATGTCAGACGTCAAAATAGAGCGACTTACACAGGGAACAATCTTGGCATCGGAAACTTCCATTTGCCCTTATATTGACGGTCTCTCCCGATTAAGGCATGTGTTCCCGCCATTCAGGCCGGTACATGGTATTTGGTGGATTGAGAGCTGGAACTTCTGCAGAAATGCTGTCTTTCAACGAGAGTCTATCGTTGAGAAACCAAAGTCCGGAGTACATGCCAATCCGTCTATGAAGAATGTGCTGCATTACTTACCTAAGGTGCTGTTCACCCCTGCGACTTCTGCATTGCTGCCTAGAGTAGCATAACCCCACTCAACACATTCGGAACCTAAGCCTACTTTTGCTTCTTTGACGGCTGGCTCTGGTTCACGTTAAGCTACACGTTAGTTTTCACGGTACAAAACATTATGGACCTGAGCACATTTCCCTACTTCTTGTCTCTCCCGTTTGAGATCCGGCGAGAAATCTACTGGCTTGCCACCCCACCACGTATTGTGAACGTTGAGGAAAAGACGGTTATCGACTTTGACGAGTTCAAGGAGATCCTGAGTACACACCCAGTCCAGCTCCATATCCACCCTGATATCGGGTTCTTCAGCATCAACTGGGCTGCTGAGATCCAACAGCATATAAGAGATGGACGTAGCCTCCGCCAAACGACCCTAGAGGAGCACGGCTTCACCGGCAGCAAACCGATCCCACAACCCTGGACTCCGTCCGCTCAATGTCCAGAAATACCCCTCGCATGGCTAGCCAACGACCCAAAGGTCGCGTGGGAGCTCATGAGGGAGGGCTACTTATACAGCAAGGCTCCGATACCACCGCTACTGCACACTTGCGCCGAGTCTCGCAGTGTGCTCATGCGGGGCGGCTACCGCCTGGCCTTTGCGACGCGGACGGCCGAGCCACGAACATGGTTCCACTTTGATAGGGATACTCTCTTCCTCTCACAGGTCGCCTACGAGGAAGAAGAACGTCTCGAGTTGCTGAGCGGGGGCCTGTGGGACGTGGGCCAGTTCACGGCGGCGGATCTGCAACGGGTGCGCAGGCTCGCGCTGGAGGGTTCGGCGTCTGTGCTGTACGACATGGACATGGCGGCGCCGTGGCAGGTCGTACCGGCGACCGCGTCGGTAGTCGTCTCTCTGCTGCTGAGGCTGTTGGGATCTGTGGAGGAGCTCTGGTTTGTGGAGTGGACGCGGCGTGATGTGGAGAATTGGAGCATGTTTGAACGCTGCTTTCCGTCGCCGGCGGTGGAGGAGAGCGCTGTTGATGTGGCAAGGAGAAGTAGTGATTTTGTGGCGGTAGATGTTGAGCTTGTTGATGTAGGCGGGCAGAGTTGTTGGTGTGACGGTGCGTTCGGGAGTGGGTTTCTTCGGTCCGGGTTCGGGGCATTGAATTTTGCGAAACTTATGGAGGACCGCCAAGAATCTGGGGCCGGAGGCGGGGCCGAATCGGGGGCTGCATCCTATCATGGGTATCTGGGACGGCTTCGACAGGTCTATCTCGAGCATCAGATGGTTGCGATGCTTGCCAAGGAGAAGGACCGTGTTGAGATGCGGATGACAGACGATGGCCCTAACGTGGGATGTTGGAAGATCCCAGAGACAAAGCTGGTTCACGTCCTGCCGCGAAACATGATCCAGTATCTATACGAGGAACGCCGGAGGGTCGCGGCGGGGTTGAAAGCATTGCAGAAGGAATGGGCTCACATGAAGAAACAGCAGCTTCACCACCTGGCCGTATGTGGTGAAGCTCTACGCGTAGACTCTGCCCTTTCCGAAAGGCAAGCGTTCGAAGACAAACACTGGCCTTCGAATGACTGTAGGCACGAGGATTGTCAAGGAACGTGTTATTTCATTCATATGGAGAATAATCTCAAGAAGTGGTGGGTACAGCATGGGCCAAGTCTATGAGCAACTTCAAAACTAGTGCGCCCAACGGAACTCGTTGAGCCTTTGTCACTATAACGAAGTCGGCGAAACGCGAAGCGCGTATATTGAAAAGACTTCAAGTTCTTAGACTCTAGCCTCAGGCGTTGATCAAATCCGCCCTTCACAGTCAACAATACATGTACTGTCAATGCACGAATGTAATAATCTAATATCCTTGTTGGAGAGGAAAGCTAAGCTTAATAACAGACTCTGTGTGGCTTCATTTTCCTATGTCTGGGTGGGTGGGTGGTTCGTGACCCAAAGGTCGAGCTCGGGACGCTTTGCATATAAGACTTCAAACAGCCTCGCAATTCTGTTCTGCTGCAGGAACCCCCATTGAGTTTCTTGGCATGCGCTGTGCGGCAGTCTGTGGGCTCAAACGGGCGAGGCGGATTTTGCCTTTTCAGCTATAGGACCCCAACCTCTCGGATCGCGGTATTGTCCGCCTTTGGGAGCAAGTCTGTTGTATCACTTGGACCTTTTTACAAGTAAACTAAGTACTTGAGAAGTTGACTGAACCGAAATTCCATGCAAGGTAAGATGGGCAAAACAGGTCGAAGAAGCCACGCCAAATCACAATTCGTCAAAGCGGCGCTTCCAGCTGAATGTTGGACGGCAAGGCGGTCCATCTAGATTCAACCGCTCATCGGACGACGGCAGGGTTCCATATTTCATGCAGTCCATCACGTTGGGGAATCCGGTGCCTGCTCAGTAGATTCAGCGGGGAAAAGAATGCATTTTCATTAGCAAAGAGGCAAAAAGGCCAGTGATGATTATTCTAATGGAAAATGATTACCCATGGATAAGTAGAAACCCTTGGCTGACATCCAAACCGAGCAATAAGGCCAATTAAGAAACCGGCAGACACTCGGCGGCGGCCGTTGTCGTGGAAATAACGACGTGGCGTTCGGGAAGGTTAGTCTGCACATAAAGCGCAAGATGACATGTCCATAATTGACCTGGTGTTTTCAGCGATGGCCAGGGAATCCATGACATCAGTCCCCGCAGGAAGGTCGACTTCGTTGGGGTGGGAGGGAGATCCTCTTCTGTCCCATACCCCAGATTGACCTTAATCTGACTTCGCCTTCCCACTTGTGCTACCGCACCCAAGGCGCCCCTCCATCTTCGACTAGAAGAGGAAAGACTGAGGTCATCCCGAGGTCTACCGTGCTTCAGATCCCCAGCTAGGACCAGGTTCCGAAAACCTGTGTGCCCAAGTGCCGTGTTCGCTTGCGAAATATCAGCCCCAACGGCAGCACCTGGGCAGGTTTTCGGAACAGTCCTTGGAGATTTGATTGGTTTCCAAGGTATCCTTGGCCGACACCCAAGATCGACAACGCATGGACTCATAAGACGGCACTCATTACGGAGGTCCATTTCTCGACGGAAGTACGCCACAATGGCCGTCGGCAAGGAGACAGAATAGGCATCGCCAAGCTTGGGGCGCATGTTTGCCATGACTTGAGCTGGCCCGGGTTCCGCCTTGTTTGTGGGTCTCACCAGAGCAGAGAAAGGTTGTCGATGCAACCATCTTGAAAGGCTCACCTGTTTCAGCGGCCGAGATGAGCGAAACCTGGGCTGTCATAAACCTGGCTTTGGGGTGGGAGGGTCCCCAAGACGGGGATGGCTAGACGACGTGGCAGCCCCTTGGCGACATGACGACGGTGAACGTTGTAGTCGTGCAACTTATTCGCTTTCTTCCCCCTCCCTGGTATTATTATAAATCGGTTCACACGAACGACATGGATGAGCTACTTGCTTCTGACGGTACTTGGCCGCTTGGCGGCCGTCTTTATTAGACGGAAGGGGCTGCCGCTGGTTTTTCATCGACGAATCTTCCCACAAAGATTACTACACTCAATCATCACAGCATATTGACGTTTGTCGATGAAAGGTCGCAGTTGGAGCCCCGTCGGGGCTCGCCGGAGGGGGCTGAAGTCGTTCACTGCGCGGATGACACTTCGGCTCCTGGCAATTGCTTCCATCGTTGTCATGTATCATGTATTGGACCTTCATTTCCGCTATCGAGAGGACATGAGAGTCAAGTATCTCCCGACGCAGTTCAAATCCCTCTCAGATTATGATGAGGCGATACTTTCAAGCACCATATGGGAAGTCAATTCCGATACAGCAAGTTCTGAACGTGGCATCTTGCTCGACAACCGGCGCCATTGGAAGAAGCTAGGCAAAGGCAGGGAGGGCGAAACGTTCACATTCAACAATACTGTCATCAAAGTCTACAACGAGGAAACCAGTCCATTTCGAAATTGCCTTCAAGGGACAGACGCGTCTTCGAGAAGATGGCCCACAGAGATCCCTGCTAGTCTGATTATGGGCGGACACGATGATGGCTCGACATTGCTGGACGACGAGCAGTACAGAGAACACTTCGTCCCGGTCCGAGATTACTTTTTGGCCGCTACAGAACCATTGGGGGCCCCGAAATGGCACCTCGTCTCGCCGTTCCTAAGGTCAGGCACTCTAAAACACCTAGCAAAGAAGCTACGTACGCCTAGCAACCGGCATTCGTATCGTGAGCTCGATCAAATGTTCAGACCATCTCTCGAGTCTCTCCTCTCAGCACTCGACAGCTTACACATGGCGCATGACCTGTGTCACGACGACGTCAAGCTAGACAACATCTTCGTGGCATCCGAGCATGATCCTAGAAAGTGGAAATTCGGCGATCTCGGCAACGCTCGTGAGCCCGACCACCCGTATCACTACACGCCACTATGGACTGCGGACACGCCTCAGCTTCGCGACTGTCGCGCCAACGATGCGTTGCGTCTGACGAAAGTGTACTTGCAGTTCCTTCGCGCCTCGAGCGGTGACCCCGACGCGTTTGATGAAGCTTTGACCGGCGGCGTCGATACACTGAGCAGATTCTACTGGGTAGTTGCCCGGTCCCCAATGCCGGCCTCGGCGGCGCAGATTTGGCAGCTCTCGGCTGTATACCCGCCCCAATTGGTTGGTGAGAGGACGCCGTGGATGACGATGCAGCCTGCACAAGTTGAGTTATCCCGCGGCTGGGCGCCAACGGCTGAGGCCGTACTTGGTTGGAAGGGGTCATTGAGAAGTGCTGTGAAAAAGGAGCTGAGGGTTGGAGCTAAGGAGAGTATGGGTAGACTTTTCGGATTGACCAGATTTTTGGGCATCCCAGTCGAAGCATGCCAGGCTATCTGAGGGCTCAATATTGAATCCTAGGATTAGTTGAGGAGTTGAACTAGGTTTTAATTTCAAGAATGATACCGGAGTCGGGAGTAGATACCCATTGTCAAAGAGAACAGAGATCCACCCAACACACAAGTCCTTGTCTCCAGTGAGCCTGAAGCAGTAAAATCGTGTCTACATCGAAGGCTGCCGTGATAGAAAAACACGGTCTCAAGTGAGTGCCAGCAAATTCCTCATTGGATTCCACCCAATTATTGAGAAACCACTTCTTAGGCATGCTAATCGGTCTACCCTGTACTACCTACATAGTAAAGGTGACCGACCCACTTTCTCTCTTACAGCTTGGGAAACGTCGGCCGACATAACTGAAAATAGTAGCGAGTTGGGCCTGACGAATCATCAATAAACAAAATCTCTCAAGCCAAATCACACGTACTCGTAATGCTTGTTTCGGTCAATAGACGTTGAAGCCTGGTCCCTCGAAGTTTTAGCGTAATTAGATGGGTGGAGTCCCTTCTCCCCATTTGCCTTCTGATTTGGGCGAGCTCGGCCGACGACGACTAAAGTGTTCGATGACCCACTTGGTCTTTCTGATGTAATTGAGTGTCGCTATGTTATAAGAATGAGTTACTGACCTTCCAGGTGGACTGAGCTCTACTACCAGGTACCGCAACCTCATAGTTCTCTCAATTCAGCTGAGCCACTCATACATTGATCTTACCTGACTTTGAGCTTCCATACCAAGCACAGACACGAAGACTCGGCTTCACAACATCACAATGTCTTCTTCAGATGGCCGAAAGAAAACACCACTCAATGCCATCGTACAGGGCAGTACCATGGAGGCAATGCCTACGTTCCCTAACATCGCCGAGAAGCGCGCCTTCATGCTGGATCACATGGCACATGCCTTCCATGTATTTGCGCGCAGAGGCTACAGTGAGGGAATGGCCGGGCACATTTCCCTTCGTGATCCAGAGTTCCCCGATAGATTCTGGCTCAATCCGTAGGAAAATTTTCGCATTGACTTTTACAAGAGAAGTACATTAGAAAGCTGATTTATCTTCGCAGCCTCGGCGTTCACTTCGCGTTGCTAACCCCTAGCGACATGGCGTTAGTGAACGAAAAGGGAGAAGTCGTTGGAGGAAACACATCGCGTCCAGTGAATGCGGCAGGGTTCCTCATCCACTCCGCAATTCACAAGACCCGTCCTGATGTTGTTGCCGCGTGCCACTGTCACTCTAGATTCGGAAAAGCCTGGTCAGCATTTGGGCGCCCCTTTGAGATGTTGAATGGAGACGCCGCCATGTTTTATGGAGACGCACAAGCCGTGCTCGCCAGTTATGGTGGCCTGGTCTTTGAAGAAAGCTTGAGTGACCCTGTGGCATCGGCCTTGAGTCTCAATGGGAGAGGGTTGATCATGCAAAACCACGGCTTACTCACCGTCGGCCAGAGTGTTGATGAAGCCGCTTATCTCTTCACTCTGATGGAGCGCTGTTGTGAGATACAGCTGCTAGTGGAAGCGGCTGCAAAGAATGGCCTCGAGAAGAAATGCATCGATGATGCTACAGCCAAGCACACCTTCGAAACGAGTAGTGACTCGGTGAGTGATAGTGCCCTCTTGAATGATCAAAGGATTATTAATTGACTCTACTGCCTCAGGATTCGCTCTACTGCGAGTTTCAGCCGGAAATCCAGAACGAGATACTATTGCGAGGCCTCACATTTAGACCAGAAAGTCGCGGAAAGTAGGCAATGAGGCGAAAAACCAAGCAGCAAGTTTAAGTGCATATAAACCAAAAAGCCAGGTCTTGAGATGATACATTATGACAAAATGAGACATGTATTTGACGATCTCATCACTTCCCTCCAGCTTTGATCAAACTTCCCTACCCCCATCCTTGACTCCCACACTCTGGGCAGGAATTCCGATGCAGCTCCAAAGTTACCGGTGCCGCTCTTATGAGCAACTCGGGATAGAAATCGCGCTATTGCTTGTCTTGAAGAGGTTCCTTCAGCTTCACATCCAGCGATAAAGGCAGCCCAGCACAACCCCGCTGCAGCTAAGTTGCCGCGCTCTTCAATACCTTTCTCGTAATCGAGAAGATGCCTTAACGCCTTGTCAACAAGATGCTGAATTGAAGTTGGGTTGACATGGCGAATTTCTCGATAGAAGTACATCTTCACTGCTGCATGGATTGCTTCCCTCGCGTCATCGAAGGCAGCTTCTCCCTGATTTTCCATATCCTGCCTCGGATGTTGCACATCTATGACGTGTCCTGCGAAAGTCCATGTGCAAAGGTCATGCTCTAGTGTTCGAACGATGCCGGCGATTACGGGAGTGTCTGGTTCGACCAAGCCAGTGCTAAAGACGTTTATCAGATGAGTTGTACGTGATATGAGACTGACAAGCGATTCCGGGAGTCCAAAGATGGCCTCAAACGTTGTGGCCGTATGCATGATTTCTTGCTGTGCCTCCTTAAGGCATATAGTACTAGGAGTGAGTGAGTCTAGAAGCCTGAAATCCTGATTTTCCATGCACACTCTAGTTCTCAAAGATGGAAACTTTACATCGACTGGTGTACTTGAAGTTTCATCGGCACATGAACTTGGTAGCCGTAAGGCAGGAAGGGTACAATTGTCGGACGTCTTCACGTCTGGATAAAAATGTGTTGTCTCCTCAAAGACTCGGGTATATCGAAGCATGCTTTGGAGAATTTTTGCCTCTCGACTTCGAATGGGTTCGATCGCACCTGAATCTTCCATAAGGCGCTCGGCTGCGACTAGGAATTCCCTCGCTTCGTTGAACTTGCCGCTCATGACCTTGACTACGTTATTTCTAGAACTTAGAGTAGAGGAAATTTGATTAAACTCACTGATATTGTGTTTATGCTCATCGTCGCTATGGCAAGCTCGTTCACTTGGCTCGGCCAGGAGTCATATTTACCAGGGAAGCTGCCGAGCGACAATTGCTCCTTCGCAGTTTGAGAAAACTCTGTGGCTGCAAGACTCCAGAAATCGGCGACCTCCTTGTTGGCCTTAGAAGAGGCCTCAAGGTTATATGCACAGACCGATAAGACACCATACAGCAAAGATGTCTTTACGGGGTCTGTACTGCCCCAGATGCTGATCTCTGACACAGCCTGCAAGGCGCTGGGCAGGTGCAAAACTTTCCAAGGTGGATATCGGTTACTCTTTGGAGTAAAAGAGTCTAGCATCTTCGATTTGTAGTGATCAAGTAAGAAGAACGTCGTTTCCGGCAGGGAGCTGGTAAAAGTGCTCGGACCTGTGAGACTGAAGTCGAAATCATGTACCAAATTGCCGGCGTCGACTATTTCAGTGACACCCGGCAGAGGTGCGACTGAGCTTGGGAACGGCTCCGGAAAAGCATTATTGGCTTCGGAGCCCAACGCAAGTGACTCGCTCAATTGCTCGATTGTGTCTGGCTTTGGTGTAATCTTGCCTATGTCTTGGCCGCTGACTATCATTTCTTCCACTAAGACCTGATCAGCTCCTAATAATCAAGGAAACGATAAGTAAGACACACTTTGTGAATCTAAATCACTTCTTCTTAGAGTAATACGCACCATGATTGATTCCATGAAAGAAAAGTTCGAAGCTGGCGTCTACATTGAGAGTGGCCTCGGAATCCTTAGGTGTGTGAACCTGGTCGTTTAGTTCGGCGTTCCCAGGAACAATAACAGAAAATGACCCAACAGAGGACACCAACGAGCGTTCTTCGTTGGTTATCAGGTCGAGCTGATAGCAAATCATCTCGATTTCGATCCCATTTCTTGTCTTTTGAATAATCTCGGATGTAGCAATTAGTTCCTCGACTAAGAGACATTAGGTAATATTCAAGGTGACGGTTCAAACGACTTATATTGATAGAGAAGACCGAATGAGGAAAAAGGGCATTGGCACATCGTAGAGTTTGGGTCAGAAGGGGAGAACACGTTCCAATCCACCCTTCGCGGATCTTAAGCTAGGTGTCATCACGTACTTGTGAAATAATTTTGTCTGTTCCGATTTGAGATAGGCTCCTGCGTCAGGCTTATGCTCCGAGGTGAGATCAAACCTCCCCTGCTGGACTGACTTGGCCTCGACCAAGTCAGTGTCCTTTCAGAGCCCACTCGTTGGCACCCCAAGCCTAGACGGGCACACGCTGAGCAGGCAGGCAGAGCTGCGTCACAACGCACTTTTCGCCTTCGACACGTCAAGCATTTTGCCATTGCGTTCCAGCGACCGAACAGAATTTGGTCCCGAACAGGAACATCATCGAATGCACCGAAGAACAAGAGGGAGGCTATCCACCTAGCGCTAGCTTAGATTGACACATTCTACCGGAAGATGGCAGATGACTCATAGGTTAAAATGACTCAGCAGAAAATCAATGGCTCAATGACCACCTTCAAGTAAATAAGGCAGGCCAAGTTACTAACAATTCATGAAGACTGGATGAGTGGATCAGGCATAGGATATGAATGTTCGAAGCACAGCCCTATGTTACTTAGTGTTCAAGTTGCTGTGAGGAAAGCTTTGGATGCTTTTATCCCAAGCTGCCACAGATTACCTATTCGATGAGCCTTGGATCTGAAGTAACTTTTACCCAAACAGAATTAGAAATTTATGGCCAATGTAAGACAAAAAGCACACGCCCTTTTGAAAAAGGCGGTTTTTATTCGTTGAGACTGCTTGTTGCACGGTGTAGCATGTGTATTAGTGTAAGGATATGCCATCCAGCATAACATCCCATCAACCACTAGAGGGTATCAACAGAGACATACGCGCTTTTTTGCGAGCTAATAACAAATTGTTATCAACTTAAAGAGATACGTATATGCTAGTGTACACTATTGAAGGGGAATCACATATAGAGATATCTGTAAAGAATAAACTTTGTCAGGCACTTAGTGCATGAAATACAATAAAACCAAGATAATAAATCATATATGGATCCGAACCTATTCATTTATATCAGTTCAAGAGTACTATTGAGTTAAAGCAGAGTCGGAGAAATGAAAACTCATGTACTGACGCCATCTAGCAGTTGGCGAGATAACAATGCCAAAACTCTTATCAGAGGAGTGTGCAGGTAATTGTAGAAGCACTTTCTGGAGTGAACTGGGCGCATTTCTGGGTCTATGTCGACACTGAAGGATTTCCAGAGATCCTCGTTCGCTGGCTACGAGTGTCCATGCCACCAGCGTTCCCAGGGACCGAGGTTTCACAAGTGCTCATAATGTTGCTTTTCATCACCTCTACCTAGCCTTGTACAGATTCTCGCTTTGACAACATGCTACAGTCTGGCTTTGCTTATGAAGCCTGAAAATAAGATTTACCCAGCAAATCCGTGACCGCGTTGATAGCAGCTTAGTAGATAGGTGCGGCAAACAAGTGGCCATCTGTCATTGAAACTTTGAACAAAGCTCCTTGAACACCTTGTTCTTCCGTCAAGTGGGCCTATGTCCGATCGTATGTGCTTGAAGTCGGTTTGATGATTACATTATCTCAATGATGAGCGATAGAGGAGACCCAAAGACCAAGCGCTCGCTACTTCAGAACTCTCAATCCGCCGTTTGGCATGTAGATGGGTCAATGCCAACACACTACAGTTATGGTAATGTAGATGATGATCAATTCGTTTCGGAAGCAGCTGTAAGCGGAAACGATGGCCTGATGGCTGGTCCAGGTGCGAAGAAGATAAAGAAATAGTCGCGCGATGGGGCTTCGGAATTACGGTGGGAATTGTTGACATTATGTGTGCTTCTGAGGTTTGCAGATTAGAGGACTGACTCTATGGCTGGTTCACTTCATTCTCCACAGACAGGCAGAAACCTATCTACCGTTGGGAAACTCTCTCCGGAGCTAGTCAGCGGAGGGTTCCAATGCGTCGACGCCAACGTTAAATGGAGGTACGATTGTTGTTGAAAGAGAGCAAGCGCACCACCTGCAACAGCTCGGAGACTTCCCCGCCAACGAGCAGAAACTTTGGCGTCGCCGTCGTGATGAGGGTGCACGTCTGATGTTTTAGGTGCTTATCTGCACCAAATAAGACCTGCAGAAATAATTGAAGTCTTGGTGTTTGACTCAATGCGGGTCTGTAGGGCTGTGACAGGTGTCGTTCATGACTCGCGTTCACGATCGTTTCAATGTCCTTCGTAGGCATAGCAGGGCAAGGATAGCCAGCGAAGCTCTGCGGGGCTACGCTACCTATAGCGAAGTCTTAGTTGGCGAGCTAGCCAAATTCTTTTCTTCCTTCTTCCTGATGTTGAAAATCGAGCTGAGATTGAGGAATTGACATTCAAGTGGCGGGACGTCTTGACAGTAGGATTGGGTCGTTCAAGATTGAGTAGCTAGCTGGTGGCCTGTTCTGATAGGCAAACGTGAAAGTCACCGAGCGTGTCCATTGCTGCCGACTTTCTACGCCTGGTCAGGGTCTGAGCTATCGACGCTCCCGGAACCGAGTTGCAGCGATGTCCAGTCATGGGGAGGATAGCAGGCCGGGCATGCTTTTCGCTGCGCTTGGAGCATCAGGCGATAGCGGTCCACTGTGATTGTGAGGGAGTCAAGATTTAATGTTGGGAGGCACCGGTAATAGAGGGAGAAATTCTACCAAAGACCAGGGGCAGTTGAAGACTTGCCGCAGATCATGCAATTTCTGGGGGATCGCTGGCCCGCTGCAGGCTTTCCGTCGAGCAACACGGACCAGATAGTCGGCGGGGGAACTCAGGAGCGACCAAGGCCTGCAG